CTACACCTTAAGACAAGCCACTGCACTAGAGAACCTCGAAAAGCTAAGGTATACCTTAGTGCTGAGTTTAATAATACTGATTAGAGGCAACAGGCCATTGAACATTAAAGAACAGAAATAAGAAGACAAAGGCTATTAGTTTGACCAAAAAAAAATTCTTTAACTACTCGGACTAATAGCTCCTGTAACAGGTGTTTTGTTTGAGTTCTGTCAGTTTGAATATCAACGACTTCCCTGCAAGTTCTCACTAACCATAAACAGATAATTTAATCTTTTAGCTTGGGTGACAAACCCAACCAAAATGGGCAGCACAGAAGCCACTTTTACTTCTACAGAAACAGTAACAGATGAAATAGCATTAACAAAGGGATATTTCCCCACATGTACCAAGTTCCTGGATACCCATACGTTCTGTTGACAGTATTCTAACCAATGTGTTTACCTCCTATGGCACTGCCACCACAGTGGGTGTATGGCTCTGACGTGTGTCACCAGTTGCTGGATCAGAGTTAGCTTGTAAAGCTTAAGTCTTGTCTCCTTAAAGGATTTAAGAGCTGAAGTTATTGCAGAGAATCTGTTGAGCAAAGACCTTCCTTTTGACCCACTTATCAAGAAAACTATGTCTCAACTACAGCAGAAGACAAATGATACCTGGAACTGGATTGGGGACTAAAGACATGCTGTAGGACGATAATATGACAACTGCCATTTGTTCTACGTTTGTTTCCTGGAATTCAGGGAGAGGACTGACTTATAGCCCATAAATAGTAACAGGTATTCGCATGCCCTCATTGAAGAGTGTTGACGTGCACAAGCCCACCCTGACAAGGTTTAACAAGTAGGAGGGAACAGCTAGTAAAGACTTATGAGAAACAGCATGGAAGAGTATTTACACCGAGAACTTACCTGTTGGTTCACACCTTTCCTCAAGAGGTAAGGGCAGTGAAGTAGTTTGCAGTATTACTTTAGCAGGCAGTCTAGCTGATAATGTTCGTTTTAAATACTGTCACCATACTGTGATCATTTAGATAACTTTAGATGAGATGAGTACTTTATCAAGTTTATTTCACTAGAAAAAGCACTTGGAACTTTATACCCTACTGCATTATCTCCGTTTTGGCTCACCCTAAGCCATCACACACAAAGGACACTTTAGAATGGTACAAACTCACTGTCTAATTCTACTGACGGAAAACAAATTCTCAAGTACCCCATCAAAAACATGACCCACTCAGATTTGCCATTTCAGCACTGCCAGGATGGTATTTTCTATCACTTACCATTTCTGAGCAAGACATTTGACTTTTATTGCTGGGCTGCACTGTGGTGGCACACTGCCACATTGTATGCCTTACAGTGGTTGCTACAGTGGAAAGCTTTCTGTCATCACCTTGTTCAGCTTGCCAAGAACAGACTGTTATTTAATGTAAGTTCAGGCTCAGAAAGTCAATACTTTGGCCAAGTGTCCATCTGTGAAGTAAGCTGCCCAGTTAGAAGTGCTGTATAGGGTCTACCTGCAACAATCCTCTTAAGAGACCTTAAATCCTTGTCAAAGCACCATGCATTTACCAAAATTCACAGCAACCCTTCACAAAGACATTTGCTGTGAAAAACCTTCCTAAGTACCAAAATATTATTGACTTGCTTATGCAGTTGTGTACTGTTGAGGAGTCTGCCCAAAACTTCAGAGTTTCCCATTAGGCGTTCCAACTTCCACCAGAAGCTGATGAGTACAGCAATAGAAGAACTAAAGCATGAGGTTGTTCCACTTGTTGCTTCAGCTGCACTACCAGTACAAAGCTTGCCAGTAAAAGCTTTGGGGAAACTCTGCAGTATTTCACACGTACTTTTTGCAAGATGCTCGTTAACAGATATCAGTTCAAGAGTCTGCTAGCAAGCTCAGTCTTTCAAACAAAAAGAAAAAAAAAGTTAAGCTTTTAGATTCAGACAAAGATAGAATTACGCTTGGACAGAGTTTGTAAACACCGTGACAATGGTACAAGTCTACTTGCCTCAACAAAAACTTGAATCTCAATGTCCTCTCTCACAATATTTCTAGCTTAGCATGATCTCCAGCCATAACATGAAGCTGCTTTCTCCAGAATCTGGCAGCAGTTAAGCCTTCCATTTCTGCACACTTAACATTTTAATGTTCGTGTTAGTTGAAGACACAGCTTTCCAGATATGACACAGATAACTCACACAATCTTCTCAGGTTTGTTCTATGTCCACTACTGGCACTGCTGGGGTAAACTGTCAATGTCAGCTGCTTACTTTCTTACTTTCTATGACCACAAGCACTTGTCAAAGACAGAGGCTAGCTGGTGGCTGTTGTCTGCCACACTCCAAGAAGCAGCTTATAGTACTAGGCCTACCTTTTATAAATACAATACCACAGCAATTCAAGCTTGAATTCTTCTTCCATGATGAAACTTGCATATTAGTAACATGGTCCGTGTTCTGCTGAGAAGCAGTTAATTGATACAAGTTTAGACAGTGAACGTAATTCTGCATATCTTGTGTTAGCTGCTCTGTAGCCTTCCAGCACACAGAGACATAATATTCAATTTTACAGCTCATGATAGCTATGAACTACATGTACAGCACTATGTGCACACCAGTGCACAACGGGAAAGGGAATGATCCTGTATTATAAGAGACAGTCCTGTACACAGGCATGCACAGATGCAAGCAAGGAGGATGCAAGCAAGGAGGGTGGAGGACACAATGTTTACATAGTAGTCAGACTGGGAGGAAGAACAGAGGAAGGTCACAGCACTATCATAGCGTATGTTTGTCCAAATCACTTCTTGGTCTTCATTACAACAGGAATCCAGAATTTTCTACCCCAAACAGCAGATAGGCTAAAACTAATCTGTCTCGAAACCTGTTTTTCTGCTTTTCTTTCTGATGAAGAACTTCAGTTGAGAATTTTTAAAAAATTATTGTGTTTTTTTTTAATCACAGGAAATTTGTTCTCATTCCCAAGGCCATATCATGGCTAAGTCCCTTTTGTACCATATTCCCTGGATCCAGTAATTCCAAATGCTCAGTCTCATGGAAAGAAACGTCATCAGGAACTTAAGGTGCAAACACATTCCAGCAAGGTAGAATTACATCTTTCTGCTAAGTGGACTGCTAGTGTTCTGATAAGGTCAGTGTAATGCAACACAAGTCTGCAAGTTCTAGTTTGTCCTCAAACAGAGGCTGAACACAGGCTACAAGAGTGTTAGCTTATTCTCCCTGCCCCACTGACACATCCTGAAACACAAGAATGGCTACTGAACATGACAATTTATAAGCATTTGAAATTAAGTATCCTTCCTAGTAGCTTTAGATCTCAGCTGATTTTGCTTTTTTAAGTAAGGTTACATTAAGCTGGGAACTTAGACCTTTAAACCAGAAAAGCCACACAAGGTTAAGTCTTGTTTAAAGAATTTTAGTGACCAAGGCAGCAGCCCTCAGCTGAAGCCCTCCCTACCCTGAAGGCATATGTAAAACCTCCTATTTCAGAGAATGTGTGCAGGGAGTCAGTGAAGCTTTCCCCTTTATTAGTGACTGTAATAACTGACCTGTTTCAATCAGCTTTAACAGAGTAAAGCAATACAAGGCAGTAGACTCAACCACAAACCAAGAAACAAAAATAATTATAAGAGGTCATCTTTTTCAACCCAACTTATCCCTGGCAATGTAGACCAAAAAGGGTTCCCTACCTCAAGTTCCTACCAGCCACAGGTAAGAACTACGTTGTAAATATTGCATTTTGTTTGTCCGCTGCTCTGGGCTCTGTTTATGAAAGACCAGGGAACACAGTAATGACTTCACATAGCTTTTCTCAAGCTCGAGACTACTAGCCTCTGGGGCAAGTCAGTGCACACAGCCCTTCCAGCTACGAAGGAGCCTAGCGCTACTAAGAAAAAGTACTTGATAGCAGCACATAGCAAGAAACAGCCCAATTTATCAGGCACTAAAATTTTATTTCAGGTACAAAAGAAATCAGGAAGCCCTGCCCCATACACACGTACCTTATCACTTCAGCTGGCTTTGATCTAGCACATGTGCCCACTAAACTTATTTACACATTCTCTATGCATCTTTTGAGACCATTGGAATCCTGAACTTGACCTCCTTCTCAGGCTAGATACACCCATATTACTCCACCTCAGACAGCTCAGAGTTTGCCCTCCTCTATTTATCTGAAGACAGACAAGCAGTTGCTCACAGTACACGGTGCTTCAGTCTAAGGACAATCTGTGCACAGCAGAGCCGAGAGAGCAGTTGTCCTATGGTTATCTGAACCGAGCTGCATCGCCTTAACTCCTAATAGCCCGTCACAGAGTAAGGAGCCCCGGGCCGAGGATGGAGAGTCCACTGCGGCTCTGCCACCGCCCCCCCAGCGCCGCTCCTGCAGCAGGCGCGACACGGGTCCTGAAGGACACGGCGGAGGGAGCCCGTCACCGCCCCCGGCCAGCCCCGGGTGACAGGAGGGCCCGACACCGCCACCCCCGCGACCGGGCCGGGGCTGCCTCACCTTGACGCGGATCTCGTAGGTGGTGAAGCGGCCGCGGCCCACCCCCACCGTCTGCGGGTTGCCCACGTCGATCTCCAGGAAGTTGCTGGGGGGCCCGTAGGCGTCGTTCAGGTTCTGGGGCTTGCTGATCAGCCGTCGGGTGTCCGCGATCGTCTCGGCCATGGCGGAGCGGGCGCCTTTCCCACCCTGAGCGACAGACCGAGCCCCGAGCCCCGAACACCGCTCCACCCGCCCGCCCCGCGGCCAGCTGACTGCCCGGCAACGCGCACCCACACCCACGGCCCACGCGCAAGGCACGCTGGGCAGTGTAGTCCTCAGGGGCCGCGCCTCTCGCTTACGTCCGTCGCGACCTCCCTCCTTTTGAACTACAGATCCCGGCGGGCGCTGGAGGCGAGGCGCGCTGACCGGGGGAGCTGGTTTGTCGGGCCCGCCCGCTCGTCGGGCGCGAGTGGCCGGGCGCGGGCCGTGGGGCTGAGGGGAGCGAGCGCAGCTTCCCCGCCTTGGGGGGGCGAGGAGACTAGGCAGGAAATGCAGCATGGGCAACGTGTTAGGCGTAAGGAAACAGGTAGGTGCGAACGTAGGCTGCAGGAGATGCCCACCAAAAGCTTTGTGTTGAAAACAAAGTCTTGAGTTACAGACCCAAGCTGCAATCAAGGTGACAGCGTTGTCTGTAGCAGCCTTAAATCTTTTAAGGCTTACTGCATTTTTCCAAGAGATACACATTTAATAATAAAACCAACGGGCCTAGATTTTATATCCTCATAGCTTACAAAGACTAAGTGTTTGTTCCCATTTCATTCATAAAAGGTAGGAAAGGAAAACTGTGTTTACAGAATAATTAAAAATTTTAAAAAAGTATTTTAATAACTTGAGAGAGAAAGGAAAAAAGAGAATGAGGGAAAGGCAGAAACGAAGCTGATAGACTTGTTCCCTTCCGTGACATAAGGTCTTTATTTCTTCGGTATCTGATCAGGCAGGGGGTGTGTTACGATAAAAGAAATGTTGCCCAAAGCAGTGGAATGTTTACCCTCTTGATACACTCAGAACATCAGTGAACAGAAATTGAATTAATCTGCCAATATTTCAAATTACTCCACCATCTTGGAGGGCTTCCAGAATTTTTTACTATCTGTTAACAGTAGCCTTCCAATGATTACATACATATATAATTTTCCTTCCTTCCTTCCTTCCTACCTACCTGCCTTCCGAAAGAGTTCTAGTGATTCTCATTACTATCCAGATAGAATGAGACTGTAGTCTAGCTAAAAAAAAAAAAAAACAACAACAACAAAAAACTAGTGATATTTTTTCCAAAAATCTGTGTAGGCAGCAGCTAAAATGGCAAGCTGCCCACAGATCACGTTCAAGAGACTCAAAGTTAACATCTGGCAAGTTTAATTAGCAGTTGTCTATGTTAATAAAAAGATAATCAGAAAGCAGAGATGAACTCAAGATACAAAAATAGCCCATCACCATAACCAGTATGCCGTAGGTGGTTTGCTTGGTAACTTTTCTGTGAATTTCCTTGTCATCACTCCTTCATGATTAGTTCTCCGCCTTACAGTGCACCTTCCTTACTTCCTTTCTTTCCACTAATAGCTGCCAACTATTCACTTTATAATTATAAACAGAAATTAAGCTGACAAGAGTTTTACAAAGCGGGAGTGAAAGGGAGCCTTACCTGAATTATACTTGTTATTAAACCGGTCTTGCAGCAAGGCAAGAAAAAACTCATTAATTCTACTGAGATCACATATATGTGCATCTGGATAAGCTTTTGTTTGTTACACAACCTATCCTGCCACATCTAATTGAAAATGTGACAATGCAGCAGAGCACTGGTGTTGTCTTTACTATAACATATTGTCTGCCTCCTGGCCAAGCCTTGTTTCGTTATCTGTTCCAAAGCAACAAAAAGATATCCAGTACCGTACATTTGGAAAGAGCGAGGCCTAAGTTGAATTCTTTTCTCACAGCATACCATCTGAGCACTACTATTCTGTCTACTTTTTCTAACAGGGATAACTGGCGGTGGAGAGCCATGTGGAGGCAAGCTACGGGGAGCAACTGTTATAGTGCCCATGTGTCAACAGTGTTGGTATATAAAGTGATTTGAAGAGGTCTCCCATTTCTGTTTTTTTTCCCACTGAGGTCATATACAAATCCTCTGATCTGGGAGACAAAGGGGAAGATGCCCTGCTTTATGACTAGCCTCCCCCTTACATCAAGTGAAAGCATGCATGCCACACTGGCTAATGAGGCAAGGAGAAGGAATGAAGGTGGGGGAAAGGCAGAGTTTTGTGATCCTCCTTGTTTTCTTCCAATCCTCAGAAAATGCATTTGTTTATTTTGTAACACGTTTCAGATGTTTTTTGTGATCATGAGACTGGACTTAAGCTCTCTGCAGTTGTTTCTTCTTGCTAGAAAGGTTCTTTTCTCAAGGTGAAAGTGAGCATAAATATGGAAAAGAAAGTTTTAATTCTGTTTCTGACATGAACTTTGGGCCAGATTTCAAATCTGGAGGGAGAGAGGTCAGCTGTGTTTGTAGGTCCAAAGATTAGATGCAAGAAACCAAGCATTTATATACTCACAGATTTGTTACTACACATTGTTTATTCAACTATGACACAGATTTTCTAGCAGAACATTAATATGGATACCATAGTCTCATAGCATGAACTCATATAAGCAGTTATGAATGGATGACTGCTTCTTGAATTTTGTAAAGTACTACCTCTCCAGTAGTTTTTTGTTTATTTCTTTGTTTTTTTAAAAGAAAAAGTCACATTTAATTGGAAAGGAAACCAAATCTCTCCATTATCCAGTTAGGACTCTTCAGCATTTCTAACAAGTGCCTAGGTTAACACATTTTAAACATCACAGGCAGATTTTGTCTTGTGGGGAATGCTGACTCAGGATAAGGCAAAACTCACAGGACATTGAACTAATTGTGCAATGCCTTATGTGGAAAAATTACTTCCTGATCCCTGCAGTAGCTGCCAGTGCTTTGAAACATGGTGTTTGAATATCTGCATTGTGTACTTGCCTGCCAGATAATAATATTAAGCTTCTAAGTATAATTTGTAATATCCACATTTATATATATACATATATATATATAGTGAACTCCTGTTCTGAGAGACACCAAGTAGTGCCTGTGTAGCTGAAAGACTGTGCAGTGAATTTCTAACACGTTGAGCTGTTTGAGCTATTAGAAGTAAACTATAAACTGATAGTGAAAATGGCTGTAAGTCCATAATTTTGGGAATATTTATGCAGATTTATTAACCTGAGGCTTTATAAGCAATGTAGATTATTAACAGCATATTTGATTGACTCAAAATAGATGAGGTTAATATCAAGTTTACCCTAAAGTGTTTTGACAGGAAAATGACTTTTGATGGAAACTGTGTTGATGAAAACTAGCCACAAAATTCATTTTCATAGAGTAGGCTGAATGGTTAGTTCTATATCAAAAGTGCATTTGTATTTGGGAGCCAAAGATGTGTCCCATGGTGGGAATATCTTGGAGTCTTGCAGGCAGGTAAATTCAGCCCTCCTTCTGCAGAAACTCAGAAGGAGTCTGGCAGAGACCCAAACACCCTTGGACACATCTGTCCCCATAAGGTTCAACACATCCAGATTTCTAAAAGCAGTGCAGTTTATACCACTAGAGGCCAGACAGGACCCCTGGAGTGGTTTGATTATACTCCTGATTTATATTCCTCTTCAAGACCACCTATACTTTTGGCTAGCTGGCAGATTAATAATGCAGTTGAACAAGTGCTAATTTAATTTCTACACGGTTGCAATGTCACATTTTTGAAGGTGAGCAAAGGCATAGGTACAAGTGTACCACAGAATGGGTCTGTATCTGTCTCAGGACATTAACATGGTAGTCTACAGAAGCGTACTTGAAAGTCCTGTTCATTTAGGTTAACACCAAAACTTCATTTTGCCAAGTGCTTACAGCCAACAGACAATGAGTTCCCGGAGTGTGCAGTCCACTGCACGGTGGCATGTCAGGGTTTGCCCGTGTATAGAAGGCTCATAGCATTGCAGAGGGTTTATTCACTTAGGTAGAAGATGTCAGAATAGAACCAAACGGGAAGTTTTTCTATGCTGTCTTGCATAACAAGGTTAAGAAAAAAACAGTGACAATTTAAATAAATCAGATGTTTTTGCTGAAGATTATACTGTCATTTTCTCCAATTATCTTGACATTTCACCCATTCATATTGTGATCTGAGTTAATAATGGAAGAAAACCCAGCTCTTGTTGCCTTGTTTATTCTTTGTTCTCAAGGAGATAAGCTGTTTATAAAGATAACTTATTTGTTATTTAAATCATTTTTACTGAAGTTGTTTGTTTCCTTCTTTGAGTTTCTAAATATATTGCGACAATTGTGATGCATCTCTGAGACGTCTATTCAATGCACTATGATTTGTACTGGAATTCGTTCCTAAATGGGCACAGGTGTTGATAGCTATAATATGCTACAATGAGTCAAAACCAATAAATGCCCAATAAAGGAAAGATGAAAGAAAATGCACTGAAAGCAGCACTTTTAAGATGTGATTAAAAAGCACTTTAGTTCACTACTTAATTAGGTATATTGCGCTGAAGATGCGTCTCTGCAGCAACTACGTATTTTAAAACAGCTGAACATATTAGAGCATGACTTCAATCACTTAATATTTTCAAGATCATAAACATTATTTTTAGAATTAGCAATACTATTCAGGATATAATCAACTTTTGTTTGCAAGCTGTTCTATAGTGCCCTAAAGCAACATTTTCCAAAACATTTGTTAAAAAAAAAAGTTAATTGGTAGCCTAGGAAAATTACTTGCTTGCCTTCTAATGTTGCACAGAAATTTAATGCTAGAATAAGACATAGAAATTCTGATGTTGCAAAACTAAAAGTCAGTTTAAGCATTTCCTTTGTGCTTCCATCAGGAGCAGACATTTTGTTATCCATTTCTTGCACAATGGAGTCTGCAAGCAACATTTCCTGAAGCCCCATCCTGACCTTTGGGTGCATTTCTGATGGGAATGGAGGCCCAGCCAGTGAACAAGTGAGAATTACAGTTGGTGATTCCTGAGTGCCAGTGCCTTTCCCATGGAGGGCAGGCTTTTTGCATTGTGCCTTTCTGTCAAAAGAGCTTTGTAGTCACAGTGGAGGTGCTTGGATAAGGCAGTCAGGTACCTACCAAAGGAGGAAGGCAGTTGGCATTCTCCTGAGGAGCTCTCGTGAGCCACATGTGAGTATCTGAACTGATACCAAGGACAAGGCTTACTGTGAGCTAAGAACAAACTGGCTGAACAGGACTGAATCAGCCTCTAGATTTTGCATTATCTTTGGGGAAATTTGTTTTTGTGTTAAGGTATCTTCTTGTTCAGTTTTAAATATATATTCATAGGCATAAAAGTGATACTGATAGACATAAACTTATACTGATAGACATAAACTGATATGGCTGATGTGCAGATAGACTGTAACTCTGGACAGGAATATTGTTCTTAATATTTTACAAATATTTGTCCTTAGTATTTTATGGTACATGTTTTTAAAGATAAAATCAAATAGCACGTGCTAGAAAGGATCAGGAAATGCAAATCCAGTTGCCAAAACTCCTCAGTGACAGCCAAGCTGGCCTGAGAACTGCGGCACCCGATACAGGCACGGTGCAGCATGATACAAATTATAGAATCATAGAATAGTTAGGATTGGAAGGGACCTCTGGAGATTATTTAGTCCAAGGGAGGGTCATCTAGAGCAGGTTACACAGGAATGTGTCCAGGTGCATTTTGAATGCCTCCAGAGAGGGCGACTCCATGACTTCTTTGGGCAGCCTGTTCCAGTGCTCTGCCATCCTCAATGTAACTTCTTCCTCGTGTTGAGATGGTCAAGGAAGTTGTTTGGAAACTGGAGTGCATGGGTAGGGCGGTAAGGTGCTATGTGCAGCTGCAGGTGGGTCTGGAAGTTGCAATTTCTGCTGAGTGGCCAGAGCAGCACGGGGAACACAGCCCTTGGGCAGCCAGGCAGGCAGGTGGGCTCTCCAAGGGCTGCTCCACTGCTTGTGGTGCAGTTTGGAGGGCAAAGAGAGGGGGAAGGAGCCAGGGACTGGCAAAGGATCGACAGCCAGGTAAACACGAACCAGCAGTGTGCCCAGGTGGCCAAGAAGGCCAATGGCATCCTGGCCTATATCAGCAACAGTGTTGCCAGCAGGACCAGGGAAGTGATTGTTCCCTTGTACTCAGCACTGGTGAAGCAACACCCTGAGTACTGTGTTCGGTTTTGGGCCCCTCACTACAAGAAGGACACTGAGGTGCTGGAGTGAGTCCAGAGAAGGGCAATGTAGCTGGTGAAGGATCTGGAGCATATGTCCTATGAGGAGTGGCTGAAGTAACTGGGATTGTTTAGCCTGCAGAAGAAGAGGCTCAGGGGTGACCTTATTAGTCTCTATGACTGCCTGAAAGGAGGTTGTAGCCAGGTGCGAGTGAGTCTCTTCTCCCGGGCAACTAGTGACAAGAGGACATAGGGGAGGTTTAGATTGGATATTAGGAAGAATTTCTTCCTAGACAGGGTGATTAGACAGTGGAATGGGTTGCCCAGGGGGGTGATGGAGTCACCGTCCCTGGAGGTGTTTAAGGAAAGGCTGGACGTGGCACTTAGTGCTGTTCTGGAAAATAATATACCTGTTTGTTTCTGTTATTATAAGCCTCAAAAATATTCCAGAGACAGAGGAGCTAACTAAACTTTTATTCGAATAAAAGGGAGAGTTCTCTGGCCAATCCCTAGTGAGGTCTCTCAACTTAATGGAGATCGCAGCCTCTTTTATCCCCTTGCCTGAAACGCAGGTCCCTCCCCATTTCCCCACTGGCTGAGATACTCCGGGGTTACAGCCTTCTCGATGCCTACAGTGTGTCCTCTCATTACATGGTCCCCTTGTTTCTGGGCAAACTGCATCTTTCTATAACTAAACAACTGAACAACGAATAACTTGTCACTTTCCACCACCAAATGCAACCACACTACAAATTTTGCAAGAACACTGTGATTTATTTGACATGGTGGTGTTCGGTCATAGGTTGGACTCGATGATCTCAGCGGTCTTTGCCAAACTAATTGACTCCGTGTTTCCGTGACCCAGGCGGGAGCACTGGCTCAGCGCCGCCCTCGACGGGCTCCTCCGTAGGGCCGCGGGACTCCATTTCCCAGCGCGCCCCGCGCGCCCCGCTGCGGTGGCCGGGCTGGGAAGATGGCGGCGCTCGTGTCGCCCTTGGCTACAGCGCCGTGGCTGCTGCGGGCTCCGCGGCGCTGCGCCCGCCTGCTCCCGGCGCTCAGAGGTCAGTGCGGCCGCCGCGGCCGGGCGGCCACAGGCTGCCGGGGCACTGCGCGGGGAGGGCACCGAGAAGCGGCCGCAGGAGCCGGTGCGTCCCTCTCGCCCCTCCCTGCCGTGCCGCGGGTCTCCCCCCAGCGGAGGCGGATCGGGACTAGGGGACAGGGGGCTGGTGCCGGGCGGGGTGGGCCGCCGCCGGGGTGCCGTGACCTGCCGGTGTCCTCCTGTGCCCTGTCCTGGGCCTGCCCACGACGGGACGCGCCTGCCGGTGTGGCGCCGGGAGTTGGCCCCGATCCCCTGGGGGGCACGCGGACGGGGCCCTGTGGCTTCCCGAGTGAATGGTGCCGCTTTCCCCCCGGGAAACAGGGCTGCGGTGCCGTGCCTGATTAAACGCGTTGCCTTGCGGCTGCCTCGGGTGCTCGGCGAGTGCGCCGGTGGCTGCCAGCGCCGGGCCTGGGCTGTAGGATGTCTGAGGGACTGTTTTCCTTCAAGGATCTTCCGATGCATAACAACAGCCGTGCTCTAAGCCTTGCTTTAAAATTCAGTACCGTACACAAATTTATGGAAGTTTGTGAACTTGAAGCTTAGGTTAGGAGCAGAGGTCTTTTTTCTTCGCTTAGAGCTCTTCGTCCTCTGCCAGTCTAGCAAATTCAGTTGGCGACAGGTGGGTCCCAGGGTTCATAAGTGTTCACGTACACATTATGTTGTGATTGTACAATGTTTATATATCCTAAGAAAAATAGACAAGCACTGCAGTTAGTAGTATGCTGGTTGCATGTGTTCTATTTGATACTGGTCTAACACTTGAAATCTCTGGAGTTTGTTTTTTATAACCAACATACTGCCATTTAGAAAAAGTTGTTAGAGCAAATCCAGTGGCTTTAGGCATGGTTTTTCAGCTTCCATGTTAAAGGGAAAGTTGTCCTTGTATATGTTGTTTGAGGACATCTGCAGGGTTGGGCAACCATCATTGAATTGCTTTATAATCTTGGTGTGTAACAAAAGTGTTACTGCAATAAAGATGTTTTTCCTCTACCCATTAAGCATATTGCTTGATCAGAGAGAAAAACCTTTTGATCTTGTGTTGTTCATGAGGAGCTGATGTTGCCTTTTGTTTGTTATGTTATCTTGTTAAGTACTTTATTAAAAAAAAAATCTGCTTGTAGTTGTTCCGGTATTTTTGAGTGTTCTGAAGTTGTGTTGAATGACCTATGAATTTCTGGATTTACCTTTCTCTTCTTTTTAAAAGACAAATTCTTTTTCATTTTCCTCATGGTTTGGAACCTTACCTGCCTTCAGTGAGGCCTCAAAGAAAGCTGTTAGAGGCCATTGTGTTGTTTGGGACACTTACCAAAAGCATTTAGGGATGAATTTCTTTAGATCTCACATTATTAAAAATATCTAATTGTGCAGTCTTTGATATGTGTTTTTCCTACACTCAAATCTGTTCCCTTTACCATTGCTACAAATTGTGTTTTTCTTTATTATACTTAACCTATTAAATGACAGTAGAAGCAAAGAAGGTATTTAGCAGCTTTTCAGTGTATGCCATTGTTTCTGATCCTAATGATTTGACTAGCCTTCTTTGTAATGCTGTACATTCTTTCCTTTCCTAGTTATATCTTATTTTATGTCTAGCAATTTTTATTTTTTTTTTTTTGATTTCTTGTTTCCAGCAGAATTTCTGCTTGGGCTCATCCCTGTCTCTTCTAGGGAGAAGATAATGCCAGCAGAACAGACCATGGCATTGCAGGGCTTCACGGCTATTGCCTTGCTCAGTATGGTGTTTGACTCTCTCAACTTCCTTACAGAACTCCTGGTTTGGTCTCCTGTTTGCTGACTTTTAAACACTTTCTAAAGTATCATCTAAAGGATTATCTATTCAAAGAAATGCCCTTTGGAAGTTTTACCCCAGTTTGATAAAAAAAGGTCAAAACTTCCCTTAAAATAGCTCATCCAAATCTTACCAAGTGTCCAGCTGGGCTTCTTAGTGAGTGTACTTTTTAATAATAAAAATAAATGGTAAAACATGCTACTGGAGTAAAGGTAGAAATTCAGTTGATGAAAAATGAAGGGGTAACATACTCTAGTGGTTGTATAGGTAAGTAATTATATATGTCTTTGTGTAAACTGTTACAGATGTGTGCTGTTTATAAGAAAATGCTTTTCAAAACGTCTCTATTAATAGGCTACTTTTATTTTTTACAGCATACACAGCTCAGGCAGAGAAGAAGACAGGCCCTGGTACTTCTACAGATGCTCACGCCAGAGCCTTGTTGGTTTGCAATGGACCCTTAGAACATTATGACTTTCTGATTAAGCAAGAAGAGCTGAAGAACGATGAGCAACAAAGAAGAGTTGTGCAGCACCTGCAGAAGTTGCATGAGAGCCTTAAAGGCTACAGCATTGATTCAAAAAATCTTTTCTCAAAGGTGAGGCTTATAGTGATAAAAATGTTTTTTTGCATTTATATTTGCTCATAAGAATGTGCTTAAAATACATAAGTTTCTGTCATTAGCATGAATCTTGTTTTTCCAGATGGGTCTTTACAGATACATCATTCTTCATATTTCAGTCTCTGTTCTTGCTTTTTTTGGTTTATAAAATCCAGTGGCACTCTAGAAGTAACCAAATTAAATATTATTGAAATAATTCTGCAAGAAAATCTGGTTTTAGTTGTGTCCACTGTCTACCTTTCCAAAATATTATTTGGCTATAGGAGAGAGGGGCCTAATCCAGGTTTTAGTTTTCAGTCACGGATATTATACTTGTGTGTTTGAATTACATTAACTGAACATTGATGTTTTGTGTTCTAACAGATCTTTCATGAATGATTTCCACATCATACTGTAGATCAGATATGACTTTAAAAGAATTTTTTCCCATGTTGTTGTCTCTGGGTGAGGTGACAAAGAAGGCAGAGGTGTGATCTGTGCCCTGACTGAGTTTTGGAGGGGCATCACAGCTTCTTTTCAAAGGATTAACAAAAGTTCAGACATATCCCTGTTGCACAGAGACTTGTCAATCATAGTCCCTTAGCATTAGTAGCTGTTAGCCTGCTGTTGCATCTCTGTAACTTTTCTCTGAAGCTCTTGACACAATGTTTTCCAGAGTCTCTTTGATGGTATTTCATGTCTTGTTCTCATGCTATTCTCAGGTTGTTGCTGTTGTGGCCTTGCACCTGCAAATATTGATAGCATTGTTATGGTAGGCTCTTATGGGAAGCAATTAGAACTGGTGTGAGAATTCCCCCCTCAGCTTTCCTTGACCCTTGTTTTTGTAGATTTGAGTTTATATTCGAGAAAACCAAAGTACATAAGACATTTAATTACTTGGTAAATATTAGGCCATCATAGATGTACACAGAAACTAAACAACCAGTGAATATACTTCATTTGCACCTGATTAACATACTGGAGTCAACACAAATAGTCATAAGCTATGGTGGGGAGAAACAAGAACAGAGTGTTTGACTGAGTCTAATGATAAAAGTATAGTGCTGGGAAAAAAGTATGGCAAAATACACACTGCCTTCATCATCTGCACTGGAGAGACACCCTGCCTCTAGAAGGAGGGAAACTGTCATTGCTCTTCCCAGCCAGCCTCACAGTGTTTTTCTTGTGCTCTCTCTATTTCTGTTTTGGTTTTATTAGTCGTCAGAAGTAACTGTCACATTTACAGTCAATGTTTGCCATCATCTGCAGTCCTTGCTAACAAAGCTCCATGTCAGCCTTTCTCAGCATTCGTTACACAACATAAATCTAAATATGTAACTCTATTGAACTTCTTGCCTAACAATATACTTCCCATTACGACCCCAAATTCTCCTGTTACCTGACACAAATACTGTATTTTTTTAGCATGGCAAGCCCAGATGGTGTAGCATGGGATCAGGGGAGCCAAAGCCTACAAGTCTCAAGTCCCTTAAAATGGCACACTTTCCTCTGGCCTTTACGTACTGAATGACAAGTTACCACTCTAAGGTTCTTGCAATGAATATTAGCTTCAAGGTGTGAAAAAAAGTAGAGAACAGAACACATACCTGTGAATGGGCCTGTTTAGTACATGTATTAGTATAGCAGGGTGCAGAGCATTGGGATGTGCTTGCCTGTGGTCTTCCTCTAACATTGCTTGAATGCCTGCATATGTAGCTGCAGATAATATATTTGCTAATCATATGCTTGACTGGAAATGCTTTAAATGTCTTCCTGCCTCCCGATGGAAGGAAGGAACTCTTTTTTTATTGAGAAGAAACCTGAATGGGAAGTAATTCCATGGAGCAACAGTCAGACACTCTGGAAGAAAAAACATGCAAGTACAGGAAGCGAAGTCCTAAGGCAAGACTGTTCCTAAAGGGCAATGAGTGTGTCTTTGGAAGCTCTGTTGTAGAAGCATCATCCTTATGGGTCCCTTCCAACTTGAGATATTCTGTGATCCAACTTATGCAGAGGGCTTGGCCACATGATCCTCTGAAATCACTACCAAGCCAAATCATTCAATGATTCTAACTCTGATGTGGGCATTGGAGCCAAACTTGTGGGTTTGGAGTATATTTTTGCCTGCTCTGGCGGATGAGTCATTTCATCACATTGCTTACCTTTACCTTTTTACTTTTGGGATTTCTTTAATTAATATTATTAAAAACATAAAAACAGTGTATAAATTATAGATGTAGGTTGAAAACTGTATGTTTATGGTATTTTAAAACACTTATTAATGTTGTATGTGGGCGTGTGCCTGCAAATTCATGTTGTCTTAATGCATTTGTGGGCTAACTCTTGAGTCTAAATCAGTCTCCTGATGCGATTTCAGCAAATACCAAATGAAAAATAGAAAATTCCTCTTTGAAAAATGGTTATTTCTTATCTTTGGTATCCAGAGCAATATGGCAGCATGCCTGAATGCAAACCTTTTCTGTTTAAGTGTAAGGAGATCAAGCTGGAATCAGCTTGCCAAACTATTTCTATAAGTGGAATCTAGCTGTCCAGAGTTTTATAACTTGAGAATTGTTGATGTGAAAATTTCTTGGATTTGGGGTTTGTTTTTCTTTTTCATCTATCTGGACTTCTTTTTAATCTTTGATGTTAGGCTCATAATCTTTTAATTTACCTATCTTGAAATTGTCTTACTGCGTCTGGACTATGGAAGAAGTCACTTGAAAGGGAGCCAGTTATCAGGCTTGCTCCTGTAATATTTTTGGACATACTGCCAGACTTTTATTCATTTTCATATTCTAGAAAAAATGTTATGATGAAGGCATTGGTCTTGCTGTCAAACCTGAGGATCAGTAGGCTAAAGCATTTTGATCTTTACTGGAAAACTGTTTTGGACATTTGGATATTAGGTTCTGAAAGGGCTGCCTTTGAGAATAGTTTTGAGAGCTGAATCACTGTTAGATTAGGTGTTTTATACTGGCTTTGTAGATCAACCATTGTATGGGTAATTTACTGATTCTTTCATTGGGAAGCATGAATAAGGAAGAAAGTCTGTATTGCAGAGAACAAATACTAATCTTATTTTATTTAAGGAAATGTAATGCTACTTTTTCCCCTACATAACAGAGCTAATTGCAATAAAACCAGACTGACTGACGCTTCCTTAAAAGGGAAAAGTCAAATGCCATTTTTTAAGATGAGAATGTGTTTTTCACAAGTTCATTTAAAGCACTTCACTTCTTTATTTAACATTGCTTCAATTCCATGCTTTAATTTTAAACCAGCTTTTAAAAATTGTTGTATGGCTCATTGGTGGAACTAATACCACAGTCAATGAGAGGCAGCTGTAGAACTACTTGCTATTGGGGTGAGTGTTGTTGTAGTTCGAGGTTTTTCTTCTAGAGCTTGATATTTCTATGGAAATCTCAAGATGATAATCAAGGTTGAGCACTGTAGTGCCATGCCATACATCAAAACTCCAGAGAAGGAGGAGAGCAGTGAATTTTGCGTAAATCTGTTAAAAACCTAGCTTGTGTAATTAAATCAAATCATGATTCAGGCTGAAGAAGTCACAACAGCTTTGTTTCTGTTCTGTTGTCTTTGAGGATGCTATTTGCCAGTTCAAACAGAGCTCCTTTTGAGATAAAATGAAGCCAAATAGAGTATGGATTAAATTCTAGTGCAGGCAAGGTTTTGCTTCAGCGAAGTTGTAATCAACATCCTTAATGAAGGTCTTCCCCAGAATAAGTCACAACTTTGACTAGGTAGTTGGTAAAATCATGTGCTTGTCATATGTCTGCATCTGTTCAGGAGTTTCCTAAGTATGCAAAATACCTGTTTTTCTATTACGGACTTCCAGAGTAGGGATGCTGTTGCAGACTTGGTTCGGGTTTAGAGAGTAGAACTAAGGCTTTTCGTGGCAAGAAGAGGTGCTGGTGAGTACTGCTGTCTGGAATTGGCCTGGGTTGAATAGGATTTGTGTAGATTTATGAGTGGAATTAGTTCACGTAACTAGTAGAAGGCATCTCCATGGAGTACTAATGATACAGGGCACAGGTAAATCCCGTATTTGTGAATAGCTTGTTGTCACTCTCCTCCCATGAGGGCCTGGTACTTTCTAACTTTGAATATGCTGGGAAGTAAAAGATAAACCTTATGTTTTTGTGATAGAACAGTTGTTTCATTTTTCTTTTTGTACTTAATGGGCTTTAATAGATATAAATGAAACAAATGATTGTATTTTAAATTATTTAAAGATTTATTTAAAAAAATCAAATACTTTATCAGTTATACTTAGTATCTCGTAGATTGACTTTTTACTTTTTCAGGAGGTTTTTGGCAACTTGACTAGCCTACCTTTAGTATGAAATCTCCTGTGTTGAGAAGAGATTTATCTACTGGCAGCTTTTAAGAAATAAAAAACTAGTGGTGCTTGGCATTTCAAGTGTACACATTTTTCCTGGGTCTGTCATTGAAGAGAATGTGGTTGAGAGGCTGCATTGAAGAAACGGGGGTGGTGGAAGAGAAGCATCTCTCAGCCTCTTCTGTAGTCTGATCTTCCTTATTTTATTGCCTGATTTCTTCTGTGATAGAATTGCAGAAGCCTCTTCCAAAATAGCTGTTATTCCAGAAATAGAAACTTCACACCCATTACAAGAATGGTCTGCTTTGGTTGTAATTTTGTTCTTCTTTTGTCACTTTTTGTCTAAATAGTTTTATTCAGTAAAATATGGTAAAGGGAGGATTAGGGAGCAAATATTTGCATCAGATACAATAGAGAAGCATTTCAGTGTTTATAGAAGGGATTTATATTGCCTCACAGGCCAAAGCTTTCTGAAATGAGTAGTTTGGGACATACACCATGACATCAACCATTTTTCTTCATGGTAATAAAACTCTATTTTTTTTGTGATGTAGCTTTTTGGAGCATCATCTTAGAAGGAATCTTAGGGAAAAAACAATTAGTCTTGCTACCGACTAAGTAGGCTGTTTTTCAAAATTATTGCTCAAATTTGAACAAGGACTTTGATCTTCAACTTGGTGAAGGCGTGGCCTTGTAGTTGAGATATTTTGAAATCCTCTGAATTGAAATTCAAGGCTGTAAGAGTTTGCACGGACATTTCAGATCTCTAGCTTTTCAAAATAATACCAATTGGGGCTTCTTAAGAGTTGTTGAGTTGCTGTACTAATGAATTGAAATAAGCTCAATTATAAGTGAGGTCGTGTTTTGAAAAGAGGTATAAACAATAGTAAACACCATTCAAGACCTTGAAAATGTCTTCAACTACAAGAGCAGCCGAAAAGGAGCCTGAAAGAGTGGGAGAAAGAGGCAGTTTTGTTAGCATTTAAGAGAGACTTGTCTCTTGGATTTTGCATATTTTAATTAACCACCTTAGTAGCCTAACCATCTTAAAAGTTTTCAAATCAGAGTGTAAATATTCCCAGGAAATGAGTTGCTTGCTTCTGGTGTTTGAGCGTGGGAGAAGGTGGGAAGATGTTGCATGTTATTGAAGATATTTAAGAAAGAATAAGAAGTTGTCAGAATGAAGGAGATGTTCTGACCAGTTCAATTCCTTAGATGAGGTAGGATATTGTTTGATTGAAAGTGAAGTTTAAACAAAGAAAAAATCTGATCTGATAGGGTCAAAGCAAGGCTTGCAGTTTTGAAACAGAAATGTGGAAAATGGGGCTTTGAGCAATCTGGTGTAATGGAAGGTATCCCTGCCCATGGCAGGGGGGCTGGAACTAAGTGATCTTTAAGGTCCCTTCCAACTCAAACCATTCTGTGATTCTATGAAAACATTTTGATAACACAGAAGAGAATTCTGTAAATCTAGGGATGCTAATGTTTATATCATCTTGTGGAAGTGTAAATATTTTTAAGATATGAATGATTTTCAAATTAAAATCTGTAAGTCAGTTATCTATAAAAGGAAAAAAGGCTTCTGCTGTAGCATGTCTTGATGATAATGAAACTCTGTGAAGCACTGAATTTATGCTTTCTTAAGTTATTGCAAAGAATGTTGTGGGAATTAAGAAACTTGGAGGACTCAAGCATTTGACATATTTGAGGTGATGCCCCTGTTTGAAAGAGTGTGGGGAACCTTTAAAACTTATGTATAAGCATTTCAAAATTCTCCCCTTCATACTCAAATTTTGTGCATCACTTATTATCTCTGGGTTAGTACATTCTAAATATTAACTTCAGCATCCTTAAATCTTACCATTGTTGCAAAAGAAAATGTACTGTCAACAAATTGAACAGTATTATACCGAGACCCCAAATATTCGTCAGGATAATATGGGAATGAGAAGTGAGGAGAAACTCATTCATTTAGTTTGTCTTCCTACATTTCCTACTTCTCCCTCTTCCCTCCCTGAAATAAATTTTCACTATTAAAAATCTACTAAGCAAGTTTACTTTTTAAAAATAAAATATATTTCAAGAAAAAAAAAACCAAAACAATAAAACAACCCAAGAATATAAAAATACATTCTTAGCATTATACAGTACCTGACAGGATTAAGGAAGTGATTATACTGAAGCGATCAGTAGTGTCACTTTTGGCAGAATTATATGTAAAATATTTCCTACAAACTTCTTGGATTCCTCAAAGAGGATGAGAGGTTTTCTGACATTTGATTTGCTTTTAGAGATGACCAGCTTCAGCAGATGTGTTTGGATCTGCTGCAGTACCCATCCTTTTCAGGAATTAGATATCACTCAAAAATTTTTGTCTTTACAGGGAAGCTAATTTCATTTTTTGAATCAACCAGAAATTGATTTAGACTTTTATGGAGCCCAAGCCATTATATTTATTTCCGTTAGTCAAAACCCCTTTTTTCTGGAATGCGTTTTCCAGAAATAAATATGCCTAAAAAGACAAATATTAAAATGGTTAAATGTAATTAATAAAAAATTCGCAGTGAAATACTTGTTCTGGTCGTATAACCTTTACAAAGACAAGTAAAGCTGTACTCTAAACAGATTTATTTTTCTAGCTTGGTGTCATTCCTTGTGAAAGTGCAAATCAGATTGATACAGCCTTTCTTTGAAATAAATTGAATGTGATAATCTTTTGTCTTGTTAAAATGACTGTTGTTAATATCAAATTAAAACCAAAGAAATTGTTAGGAATGTCTTTCTTTTGGATTTTTTTCCATTCCTCCTTTCTTTACTGTGTAACTTTGAGCATCAGTAGTTTTACTGAGTGCAAGCTCTTAAAAAGTACACAATGAAAAATATTCACCAGTTAAATTGTCTTGCAGTGCTTTGAAAGCACTAGCAAATAGTTGCAGCCTTATCTATTAATGGAATGGTTTCAGAACATCTGAAACCCTGTCCAACCACAGATTGATGATACAAATTTTTGATTACCCTATTAATATAGCTTAAATGAAATCCAAAAGAGGATCTTATGTAAGAGCCATGCTTGGATATTTTCTGAATGAACTGGTACTCCAGACCTGAGATGTTAGCCTTCTACCTTTTGGTCATGAATTTTCTTTCCTATTCAATTAGTGTCTTGCTGCTGACTCCTCTATTTCTTTAACATGGCACTGTATTTTGAAGAAGTGCTTTAGATTCAAGTTGTTTAGCAATTACCCAGCTCCAAATGAGACCCCTGGGTTGCAATTTTAATATTCTTCTGTGTTGCCTCACCCCATAGAGCTCTGAAAGTGGAGCCCTTTAAAATAATCAAATACTCTTCAGCAGTGTTTTTGCAGATATCAATTCATTTTCATGGATTTGATAGAATTTTTTTTAAGATCTCTATTTTTTTAGAAACTGTTTCTTTTCAGAATTATACTTGGAAGGGGCTATGCATATGGGGGGGGAGAGGGAGAGGACTATTTCAGATGGAAAGTCTTGGTGTTATTTGAAGTTTTTCCATATGTATTTGAGTAAAATAGAATAAACCATCAGGTGTCCTAATATATGTCCTGAATAATATTAAGAAATTTAAAATTTTTAAACAGTGTTCGTTCCAGATAAAAGTAACTCACTTGAAAAAATGGTTAATAAAAGGCATACTTTTGAAAATATTTTTTTAGATTTTTATATATTTATGCATATACACACACAGGCATGTGTATATAGGTACATATTTTTACTGTGACTCCATTTATTTTAATAATATTTAAACCAGAGATGATTCTGCATTTAAGATTCAAAGCTGAGAGAAAGAGGTCTTACAATGCTCACTGGCTTTGCAATACTGATTTTCTGAATCATCTATGAGTTTATATCTTTAGCAGAACTGCTCTAATAGGTATATAGTGCATATATCTATGAATACTACTAATACTGCTTAATTTGATATCCTTTTTTCTAGAACTGTTCAGATGGCTTAATGAGGGAAAGGATTTGTTTTGATGATGATAGATTGGGAAATATTAAATCATTATATATATATGTATATATAAAAGGCATGTGTGCTAGGACTGGGAACGGGGATATTTTCAAAATGATGTGGAAAAAAGGCCCAACCAAACCCTGCATGTGTGTTTTGCCTCTTTTATAGAATTCACACAAATACAACATTGATTGCCTATCAATTCTGAGCTAATGATTTATTCAAGATTGCACTTTGCTAGCTAGTGCTACTTTTGTGGTTAAGTGTAGCTACTTTCTTACTCTACCACAGCAATATGTTTGCTTTTATTTTACCCCATATCCATATTTATTCTTTTTCTCTTGACTTGCAGCTCCTTGCCAAAAACAAACCCCCAAAAGGTGTTTATGTCTATGGAGATGTTGGTAAGTTTCATTTACATCCAATGGAGCTTTCTCTAATGCATGTCTCTTCAAATTCTGAACTGTCTAAAAGCTTTATGTAGCTTTATTGCTTTAATGAATTTTACAGGATTAGTTTTCTTCCACATTATGATGTTATTTAATACAATTACAGTCTGAATCCTGGAATCTGTTTGATTGGGCCACATTACTATGTGTAGTTTTCAGCATTACCCGTTCCCTAATATTTAAGAATGCAGTTTAAGAATTTGGGAAGTAATTGTGGAGGCCACCAGAGAGAATTCGTATATTCTAATTGCAGCAGCGCAGCATGAAATCATACTTGCTTTCCGGAGGAAATACTAAGGATGTTTTCTGGATGTATGTGGAGTAATTTGTGCAACCTTTGGGCCATCTCTGTATGAATCAAAATTTTAAAACAGAAAAATAAACATGCAGTTGTTCCAAGTTTTTGAACAGAAAACATAACTGTTCTTCACAGCAGTCTGGTCTTGTACTTACTCTGTGGAAGACTATTGTTGAATTAATTCAAAGCTATCAAACAATCATTGTTGTAATCAGTACATACTGTACTTTAACTACTGGTTGAGTGCTTTTTATTGTTTTTATTTGAAGGCACAGGAAAGACAATGGTGATGGACATGTTCTATTCTCACTTAGAAGTAGAAAGAAAAAAGAGAGTCCATTTTCATGGTTTCATGTTGGATGTACACCAGAGTAAGTGCAGACATGGGTATTGACAAGAATTTTATGAAATATGATATCTATAAAAAGGTCTGTCTCATTCTTATGTTCATAGTAATCACTGTAAATTTATTCAAGTATTTAAGAAAAAAAAAGGTAAAAAATAGGAGAAATGTTGAAGCATTTTAGCATTGTCTGTCAGACCAGTATAGATATTAATTGCATATTATTTCTCAAATATCTTTTCTGAAAGATATATATATATATATACCTGATTGTATAGAAACTTGGGTGTGTTTAGGATGAAATCCTTAACTAAATGTTTTCCAGTTACCAATTAGCTTACATGAAATCTGAAGAAGGCAATTGCTAAAACTGAAACTGGAAAGGTTAAACTCCATCTGTGTTTTGAATAAAGAATAACTAAATCAGGTATAAATGCCAAGGAGAATGGAAACTATTCTGGTTGATTAACTTAGTAATACTATGAGTAATTTGGAGGAAAAAATAATAGAAAGAAGTTAATCCTAAGTTTCAGAAAATTTTCTGACAGGGTGAAAAGCACTTTGTTTTGACAGAGATGCTGTTTTTGCTTCTGTTTCCAAATTTTATGACCTTATATGTCTGTGAAATTGTTAACTATTGCTGTAATTTACAAATGTTGTGACAGCTGCATTTTCCTTGTGAGGCTTTCATCAGTGTAAACAACTTAAGCCACTTCTAGTGCTCACTTTTCTATCATCACTGGGTCACTCTTGAGATTTTCCATTTCCGTTTTTTGTCATTTGTGCTTGATTTTAACAAAGATAGCTTCCTACTGCAGAGTCATTGTCTTCCAAACGTTTGTTTGTAGTCAGATGCAATACAATCAGTATCCATACAGTAAAGTATGGATATAATAATCTTACCTTCTGCCAGTGTCATCATCTTCACATTTTAAAGCATGACTCTGTTGCTATGTCTGAATTCTTTTAACTAAATGCTTTCTAAGAATACCTTCAGAGCAAGATAAGTCTGTAATTAATATTTATTTATAAAAGATAAGGTATAGGTGCACAGCATTCAAGACTGCTTTGATTTTTGTTTTATATATTCCTAAACAAAAAAATATGAATCATAGAATCTCTGAACTTTTAACTGTTGCCTGGATGTGGTTGAAAACTGTTTTGCCCTCCTGAAACTAGATTAAGTTTGAAGCTTTCTTATTTTTACTATACTGGGCTAGTTTTTATTTGGTAGCTAAATAATTTTGTTCTTCCAGTCTTAGAAAAAGAAATAAGACGTATTTGTTCTTTTCTGTTTTATCAATTAAGGAATACATCGCCTTAAGCAGAGCTTGCCAAAGAGAAAGGCGGGATTTATGGCCAAATCATATGACCCAATTGCACCGGTGGCAGAGGAAATAAGCAAAGAGGCTGCTCTCTTATGTTTTGATGAATTTCAGGTAAAAAGTCAGAGATTGCTCCTTTGCTTCAAGGGAAACTACATAAAATTACTTTTGATCTTAAAATATGACCCTTGTAACTGCTAATATAATATTTTAATCACTACAGTAGTGAACTGTAGTGAACAAGTTGAAGAGTGTAAGTCATTTCACAGTTTTGAAGATGGCGAGGATCTGGGGTTTTTTTCCACAGTAGATAAGATGCAAGTTGGCGGTATAAGTGCCCTTATAGTGCTTTTGTTTACCAATCTGTTTATTGATCCTACAAGGAGGAATTAGAGTTTGTCTAGAGGCTCGTGAATGCTTCAGGGCAGGGGCCATCATCCTGTACTGAGTCTGTCCAGTACCACCTGATACTTGCTTGGCATGCCTGGTCTTTGCTGTAGTTCATATAATGCTACAAAATACTCTCTGTGATTAAAGATATGTAAATACCACGTCAGATTCAACCTAAATTCTTTCCTAGAATTATTGAAGTCTTTGGCATGACTGTGCCAGATTATATCAACTAGCATTTTAAGAAACTTTCATTTAATTAAATGTGAAAATTAAAATAAGCTTATAAAATGATCTTTGCACAAGCCGACTTGATTGTTTAATTTTAAATAGCTTGTGAATTTTGTTTTAAGGGCACATCACAAACTTAAGTGTAAAATTGCTTTATTTATTAGTAAAGAAGCTGGAGGTATTTGGCAGTTCTAACCAGCTGAGATTTTTTTTTTAATTTAGAGAGAAAATGCAGAACAAGATAAGAACAGATCTATGTTAGTTCTCAAATCACCAATAATAAAAGAATAATCTATTAATTGTCTGTGTTATGCTCTTAAATTAATACATTTCTGAAATAGATGGAGCAATTTATGTTTACTGGCTGTTATTTTACAAATGTGTGCATCCGAGGAAAATAACTGTTTTGTGATTGGCTTCCATGAAGGGGATTTTTGTAAAGTAGTTCTTGTTTTAAGTTACTTTTCCATTTTCATCTGGGGGTAGTCCTTTGATCTACAGTTTCAGAATGTGTGGGCTCATTGCAATTGCTGCTGTTTGATCATTTAATTTATGCTTTATCTATTGAATATGAATGCTGGGCTCCCGAGACTTGAATATAAAATCTAAATACAGAGACAGTTGTATTTACACTGTGAAGAAATGGGAAGGTTTAGAGAGGGAAGTATTAACTCTCATGACATTAAATGCTCAAATGGTAGAAAGAGGCGGTAGCATATATTAGTGTAAATACCTGCTTTTCTGTATAAGTGCCCACTGCTTTTGTGTCCTGGTATTGCTGTGTTTCCAGACTGTCTGTCATGTTTCCACATTTTAAAGAGAGAGACTGGTATTTTTTGTTTCCAGATTGATTGCCTGCTCCCCCTGCTGACTTGCTTGAGGTACATCAGTGACTTCAGTTGGAAAAATCACCTGGTTTTGTCAGTCCGTCACAGCTGGGAAATTAATATAAGAACTATATTTTTAAGTGTTTCTAAGACTTTGCATTCATATGTGAATTTTAAAATCTACTTGTTCTGCGTGTACTAATTTTCTAAATTCACAGATTTCTGAATGGCTGGATTTCTTAACTGATTTTCTGTAGTATGGAACTCTATACAGGTTTTGCCTACTGAAGAGGAGTTCCAGCTTTCTTAAATTTTGCAGAAGGCACTGATTTTGGGATAAGAAGCCTTCTGCTTAAGTAATCATAGAGTAGTGCAGTGACTGGACAAGCAGCTTACATTAATAATGAGTCATATTTAGTTCGGGATGTTTGCAGCACATTTCCCCACTGAAGCTTGTGGCTATATTGTTAATGCTCCTATTTCAGAGGAAACCAAATGCAGAACTTCAGAAGACAAAAGCCCTGCTTAGGTTGCCATTTAGTCTTTGACAGTGGGCTAAAGCAAAGCAGAAGTATTTGGAAGTGAATCTTCCTGCAAAGCCTAGAAAACTGTCAAGCAGCTGAAGAATTGACTAATTGGTGTAAAAAAATATTAGAGTACTTCTTTTAAAAGTAGTGTTTCTGTGTTGTATTAAAAAAAATTACTGTTTTAAATGTTTCGTTTTGCAAATACTGTGTGATAGAGAGGACCTTAGTGGTGGCACTAAGCTTGTGTGTCTATTTTGAAGCAGGATTTTGTCAGCATTTTGCCTGAGTCCCAGGCTCTCAGATTATTAAGGCATTTCTACTTCTTACTGATCTTTGTCATACAGTTTACTGTAAATATTAACGTCTTCTTTTTTTTAATCCCAAAAGTCTTAAGCCATTCTAAAAATGTGTCCTCATTTTGAAGAAAAACCCCAGAATTATGCCATTTGTAGTTATAGTTTTGATGTTTTAGAACACAGAGGTTGGCTAGCAAAAAGAGTCCAGTTGTTGTTTAGTGATCAAATAACTATACACAGGTAATTAGAAGGTCTAATTTTGGCATGGGACTGTAACCTATGTTAGTTAGTATTAAAAATGAAAACAGAATCCCTACTTCTGGGGAAGCTGAGTGATCATGTAGTGTTAGTCTTAATATGCCATCAGTACCATTTGGATTTAAAGTGAACTACAATTTAGGGAATTTTTACTAACCTGCATTCTATTAAAAGCCTCTAATAAAAATTAGGCTCTTATTTTTGTGCTAATACTAATTGCTGATAATACATGCTTATGTTTGCCATTCATTACATGGCAATGTACCAATCAGTGGCTGACTGAATCTCAGGCACTTACACATGTAAATTAACTATTAGTCTAGTGTTTTTCCTTCTTTTTTCTTCTTTTTTTTTTTTTTTTTTTTTTTTTTTGTAACGTGAGTTATAATGGAAAGCAGCACTATGTAATAAAAATCTTTTAAATGCATGAAATTTCTGCATTCTCTCCATTAGCTGGCTCTCCTTATTGTTAATTTGTAGCCTTTGCTTTTCTTATCTGTTTCAATGAATGCTAGATACAGTAAAAAACCATGAGAACTTAGTCTTTAGTTACTGTCTCCTACCTGCTTTACCCTGTAGCATTTTCTTTCTCTTTCCGAAGGGAAACGGGATTACATAAAAAGAGCTCATGTTTGCATTCTGGTCCACAAAATGGCTCTTGGTTTTTGACAGAGCTTTCAAGAACTTTTTTTGTTGTTTAGGTTTTTTTTGTAATGGAGTTCAGAATCCTGCATCAAATAACAGTTCTTATTAATAAGAGGATGTTATTGTTTTGTTTTATGAGCATTTATATTCTTTCACTCCCTGTTTTCTAAAGGTGGCATGCTTTGTAGTATTGTTAAACAAAAAAGTTTGTAACAAAATGACACATAATAGATTTTTAAAACTTGGCTTTTAGGTTTGCTTTGTGGTACAACAAGTTCAGTTACTCCTCAGATGCACATCTATAGTGATTCCTTGTGTGTCTTGTTCTTTAGGAATGGGGGAAGTTCCTAAATTTTATTATTTAGAAGAAATAAATTACTAATAAGTGATGCATAAGCAGATATATTAGGCATACAGTACAGTACAGAGTTACTATATTTTTTTTAATATCAGTTCTTAGTGAGCAGAGATGTGCAAATCTGAGGGGGGTGTTACAGATAATGTAAAAGTTTGGTTTTTAAAAAGGAAAGAAAAAAGTCCCCATTAATGCATTATATAGAACAAAATAGAAGTAGTCTTTGGAAGAAGGAAACTAGTGTTTGTATATCATTTATTAAGAACATTATTGCTTCCAAACTAGCTGTTAGAAATGTAACCTAAGTCCTTTACTGTCTCTACTGTAGAATTATCTTCTTTTTTTCTGCCCAGAAAGGTCATTTAGAAATGTGAGAATGATGGGAGGTGGAGGGGTGTGGAGTAGAGTCAAAAATTATACTGGTTAAAATATTTCTGTACATGTATTACTATCACAGCATACACATCTAAGCTGGTGAAAGCACAGCAAACTGTCAGTCTACTGTGTGATGAGTATGTGTAACTCTCACCATACCACCACTGGTTTATTTCCTCAGAGTCAGGGTCTGTTTTGGTAAGTCAAAATGCAACAAGTGTCTACATAATAACCACAGGGAATGCAGGAGAATCAAGTGTAATGATCATAAAGGTGGTTTATGTATTAAGATTGCTGATCTCAGCTGGTGAACTACTATAAAATATGAATTACTGTTGTAACAAGGGGCTTTTTTATCCGAAAAACTTATTACGTTTTTTTCATTTGTACAGAGTGGTTTCTGTTTCCTTTTATTTCTTGGTACTAGAAAGCAAGTTTGTTGAGCTAAAATTAAGATCTTTAAAGAAATTTTACTTAAAGGCTTATTTTTTTTCCTCTGTCTATCTGTTTTTTCCTCCTTCCCCCTCCCCAGTATCGCTTGTCCTACCCATTTTTATTTTTCATTCGTGTTTTGCGCCTGAAGGTTAGAAGAGGCTGACTGTGCTGCAAGTGACTGCCTGCCTTTTGATTATTCATGGACAGTAATAGAAGGCACTTAAAAAGAACAATGAAATTGCTTATTTTTGTGATGGGCCATCTGTTGAATTGTTTTTTGCAACAATCACACAATAGTATCTATGTCATATCATTCTATTTTCAACAGCAGCTGATTATGTATAGTTGGCTACTCGTCTTTATTTCTGAAGTCCCATGACCATTTAAATTCACCTCTGCAAACCTTTGCCTCAAAGGTAATAGAAATGTAAAACAGCCGGTGTGTATTTTCTTTCTATTTTCTGGGTTTTTTTTCATGTTGCTTCTAATTAAGTAGACCTCTTAAATGTTTAGGTCTGTTTTCTGTCTCCCACCTGTAGTTTTATTATAGAAGTTAACACGGAATCATTTAGCAATTGGTAAAGAAATGGTGGAGTTCCTCAATAAAGAGTGGGCAAGTTTTGAAAGACTGTGGTGCATTCGCTGCTTATTAATTATCCCTTTTATTTTTTTCTCACCAAGCAATAATTAGAATCTTTCTCCAATGGCTTTCACTAACAAGCATTTCTCCTGGCTACAAAGCCACTTGCAGATCTATTGCAGCAGAAGCTGAAAGCAAGATAAAACAAATGTGTTGTCTTCTACAGGTCACTGACATTGCTGATGCCATGATTCTGAAGCAGCTTTTTGAAAATCTCTTCCAAAATGGGGTTGTCGTTGTGGCAACATCTAACAGGCCGCCAGAAGGTAAAAACAAACATGCTACTGGTATTATCCAAATACTATGAATCTCAGTATCTTACAAAACAATTGTAGTAATATTTAACACTAATAAAATCTCTAGTCTGCAAGAATCTGAGATATTCTGGTTTGCCCTGTATTTTTTCTTGTTCTTAAGGAAGAAAGATTTTTACTAAATCATACTCCTCTTTTCTCTCAAACTCAGGGTGTTCCTTCCCCCATCACTCTCAAATCCTTCCATGTTTTCTGATCTCGTCTATTCTATCCAAACCAGTGGAAGGGTATTTGGGAACAGGGATGTTGAGGAGGGGTAAAATACTGCCTATTTTAGATGTATGCCAGAATAGGAAAAGACCATATTCTGCAGAAGAGAGGGGAAATGGGAGTACGATCCTTCCCAGTTTCTAACTCAGGAACTGGCAGACTTGATCCATCAGCTCAAAGCAGAACCCCTTATCAGGATGCCATTCTTAAAGCCCGGTTTGAGTTCACTAGTTGTTTCCATTTCTAACTTTTTTTAGAATAACTAGTCACTGGTAGCGACTAGCTAGGTAAATAGTCTACAAAGTGCCCAAATCTGTTTGGGTTTTAACAACTGTAATTTTTTGTAGAACAGAAAGATATTTGTATAGTGTAACATTAGCAGTTAGCATAATGCATAATTTCTATGCAACTTTTAGACTGATTAATTTTGAATGTTTGCAAAAAATACTGAAGAGTTACAGTATTAACTGTAACTACCAGTTAATTTTTCTACCCAAATTAATTAAGTAAAAGACAATCACTGTAGATTTACAATGCACCTTATCTTAGAAAAAAAAAAAAAACCACAAATCCACCCAAAGTTTTTTAGGTTTTTACTACAGGGTTTAATAATTCCCTCTTGGCTTATTTTACTTGTTTGAGCAAAGAAGATGAAATCATAACTACTGTAGCTGGGTTAACTACAGATAAACTGGATGCCTTACTCAGTTGAGAGCCATCCTTGTGTTTTTGGAGCTCTGCTCTTTGAAGTTCAGGAGAAATTTTTATCATAACTTGGGAATTGTATCCAACATCTTAAATTGAGGTATCAGTTTGTGACCATTATCGTCCTATGGGATTTTTTAATGCATATTAAGTCACTTAATCAATGCAAAAGCCATGCACTTGTTCTAGCTGCCCAACAGAGAATGTCAAGAACAGCATCTCCAGAACTGAACTATATTGCAGTCCAGGTGTTGGTCAATGCCTGTCTCTTCCCTTGTCACTATTCCTGCATGCTCAAGGCACGTCTAAAATCCTCCCACAGGAAAGAGAGTTGAGTTACTGTAGTATGCCACATCAAGGTTTAAGAATGGAGAGATTTGTTTCCTGTTGATACAAAGAGGAAAAGTGAATTTTTCATTAGAGAGCAGATGTATCGAGCTGCTGAACATTAGTGCTACGCTTAACTGTGTTGAACTTCTGCCCTAGGGGGATATGAGGGGAAATACTCAGGTGCAGTATTTGAAGAATCCAGGCTTCATTTCTCCACCAAAATGACTGTTTATTTTCTCATCATCACAAAACAGAGACATAATACAGAACTCACAACCCTACTAATTAAAAGACCTAACAGGAATAGCTGTCTAATAGTGTTGTTACATGTTCACTAATCTTTGCAAGTGAATATGCAATTGCTATACACTTTTAACAAATGTATAACCATCCTGATTTGCAGAGTTGTGAATGAGCATGATACATGGCTTCCTGCAGCTTTGTTAGTAATTAGGATGTGGAATCTCCTTCACTGATAATTTTCCTAAATATTTCTATGTACATGTCCAATTTTGTGAAAACCATTCTGTAGGTGTCGTGTTGGTGTGTCATGCATGCTGCATCTTCTGTCCACCGTGAGGTGTTGGCAAAGCATAAAAGCTTTAGCATAGCTATAGCCTTCAAGCATTATGGGGAATGTAAGTCATAATCATAACCTGGAATGGTCTTTGTGTGGAGTTCTTGTGATATCTCTACCAGGTGTCTGCATTATCTTGCTCATTCCTCCCATCAGTTACAGGTGCTTTACTGCCTTTTTATAAGGCTTCCTAGTATTCATGAAACAGAGCAGCTCATCATACAGTTTAAGTGGTTACATTTTGAAAGAAGTCATTCTCTTGTGAACTTCTTGGGCAGTTGGATAACTTTCAGAGAAGATAAGTTTATGTTGTATAAATATATGGTGATAAATAAGACAAAAAATGCTGTTTTGCAGTTGTTTTTGTTAATTTGTGTTTTCTTTGAGTACAGATCTGCATTTTGTTACGTAACATCTCATTTTTTTTAAATTTAGATTGTATTTTTAGCAACTTTGCCTAAGTTAACATAATAATTTAATTTTCATTTTTTTAGCCTTAGGGATGACCCTTTTTCTTGCTTTGGAAAAGGGGGTGTACCTGGCAGAATTGCTAGAAGATAAAGTGTACCACAGTACACTGAAAAAGAATGATGCTGACTTTGTAAACTCAAATTGTGTATTTTTAGTTTATGTGGGGGTTTTGCCCTCTGCCAAGTACACAGGATTTAACAGTTGCACAGTTTGGCCTTATAATCATACCACTGTATACCCAGCATTACAAGTGATTTTTATAACCTTACTTTAAGACAAATGATAGTCTAATTTCTTCTGTTAGAATCAGTTTTATGTCATTAGAGATCTAAATAATTTTTTCATTCCCTGCCCTTTTCAAACTTCCTCAGGGTGTTCCTTTCTTCCTTAAGAATGTATTGAATTTTCATGCAGTAAAAGAAGAGAAATCAATTTCAGCTCTCCTTTTCTGCCTTTTGTTCCTCTTCCTGTCTCTAGCAACACTGAGTTTTGTTTGCTAGACTAGTAGACAAGCTGACATTGTTATTAAGACTAAGTAGCAAAATGGTACTGATTTTCTTTCTTTCAGATCTCTATAAAAATGGTCTTCAGAGAGCTAATTTTGTACCATTCATTGCTGTGCTGAAGGTAAGGAGAGCCACCTGTTAAATGCCTTTCAGTTTTCCCTGTTTTATTAATAAATTAGAGATTTGTACAGGATTGCTTTGATGCTGGTTTCCAGATTATATATATGCTTTAACTATTTAGAGCAAAAATAATTGAAGGTAAGGTAAGAAAGGACTTTTTCCTTCTGAAATTAACATGTCTTGAAAGCTGGACATTTTTAGTATGACAAAAAGTTATCTTTTGGACTAAGGCAGCAGAATTTGTTTGTTTGGATAAGACTTTCTTGCTGGCTGGTGTGTGTATGCTGAATAACATAGCATGCCTCTAACATTTGTGTTGTACTTGTGGACACCTTATATTTATTATGGTTCAAAAACTTCCTGTTTCTTCGATACAAGGAAAGTAGTGTTTGATCTGTACCCCTCAATTGCCTTGTTTCTGGGTCTTTCTCATGTGTAAGTAGTTTTTTCAATGGCTAATTTTGAGGCTTCGTATAATGTTCAACAAGGAGCAGCTCTGAAGCTTCCTTGAGTCTGCATGTTGTAGTGTGGCAGGTCAAAAACTGTAATTGCTTCATGTAAATTAAAAAACAGAGGATCCTTTCTCTATGTGAATAATACAATCAGTGCTTATTTTGCTGTTAAAAAGAACATATACTGAAATCACACTTTTAAGTTCTGGACAAGTCGCAGATATTTTTCATTCACAAGTTACATTTGTATTGTTATGTTTCTGAGGGCTGACATACACCTCTCATATCCTGCTCTGCCTGGATTGACGTGACATGTAAAATGGAAATAACAGCATTTCCCTAACTCACAGAAGTATTGCTAGCACAGGTACAGAAATAATGTTAACTATATTGATCTTTAAGATAAGAGGAGGGTAAGGTAGACTTTAGGGTAGGTTTGGCTTTGTGATAGGAAATTTGGAATTGTTGAATAGACACATCGGTTGGATGTTTCTGTTAAGGTGCTCAGCAGTAAAGAAGACGTTGCCTTGGGTTTTCAGTGGTCCCTTTTTGAATCATGAGATTGCTTGATTGCCTAAGCACCTTTGAAAATCTCATCTGATGTTGACATTTGAACAATTACCAGTTTTTGAAGTTAATATGCCATTGACATTATTGTGACACTCCTATACATCTTAGAATGGCTGCATATAGAGTTAGGGAGGTTACCAGTGAAAGTAGTTCTCACCTGGATGGCTTTAGAAAAGTAAGAAACATAAAAAAATGAACAACCACTTTCATTTCAGATTCTTGAAGAGGGTTTATTCTGTAGCTGCCTGCATGGAATGCAAGAGAGCTCCCAGTCATAGAGTACTTTCAAGAATAGAAGTAGTTCCAAATGCAATTACTTTTTGCAATGCAGCAACCATAGCAAATCATTCTTTTCTATGTAGCAAATCATTCTTTTCTATGTAGCAAATCATTCTTTTCTAAGTCTACCTTGTTGACTCTGAGTTTTCTTCCTGATAACTGTAAGGCTCTTTAATTTCACCGATCATCAGATTTTAAGAATATCTGTCATATGCTTATTTATAGTTTCCTTTTTTTCTTCTTTCTATCTAGCTGAAATAAAAAAAAGTGAAATGTAGTTTATGCATGTAGAACACCTCATCAGGACTGGGAACGTGATCAAAATATTTTAGAAAGGAATACAGAGAGAAGCATTAAAAGTGGATTGGTCTAGAGCTGCAACATAGAATGGAGTAGTGCAACAAGAAACAAGTACTACAACTCAGACTTGAGGCAGATGAATATTGTCATTATTATGAATGGAGAAAAAAATGTTCAAGTTCAACATAGGAGCTTCAAATTCCTTGAAATGTTCTTGGGAAGGTGGGATGAATGGAAAGTATTGACGGTTAATTTCTGTAAAGAGATGCTTCATTTGAAATAGATTTCAGGTTTTCATTTCTCATAAATGGAAGATGTAGTTCCTAGATACACAGGTAGGCTATAAAAAAGTATTTTCCTGTCTTCAAATGATCAAAAGTAATGGTTTCTTTCCTAGACCTATGCTCATCCTCAATTGTTGTTCTACTTTTCTGCAGTCCATGTAATTCCAGTATCTGTGTTTGAGTTCCTATTTCATACAAAGAAAACTGAAAACCAGTTTCTGTGGAATAAGCAAAAGGGTGAAATAACATTCTAGAGAAGATACAGTTATCTTCCAGAGTTTGTCTGTATATTGTCTTTCTAGTTAGTAGATTACTGGGGACAAGTGATTGTTGAATGCCTGCAACATGAGGTTGCAGTTGATAAGTTCCGGTTTTTAGGGATGCATGCTTCAGGTCCCACATCTAGTGGCTACAGAAAAGCCCCAGGTCTGTGTTACTGGGCAGGCCAGTAACACCACTGGCAGCGCTTTCTGCCCTCTATGTGTTCCCTGTCCAATTCTGAGCCTATCCCAATGTTCTCATCTTTTGAAATCTTAAATCATTTGAGATGTAATTTTTCAGCGATTCTTTAATCAAAAGGGTAGTTTTCATAAACAGAGGAAAACTCTGAATTGGACAGTTCATTGTTATGGCTATGTTCTAGTTACAGGGACGGGGACCAGTTTATCACTATGTGGGTATAACCTCTGTGTCATTTCTGATGGACTGTTAATAATGGATCATTTGCAGCAGCTGCCCAGGGCACACCTGACACCTCAGGCTACAAGCTGGGTGTTAAAGAAACCCTGTGAGGAGTGTTTCTTTTGTTTTCACGCTAATAACTGTGATAAGTACCCTCCGGGGAGGCATTAGCACCTTCACACCCAACCTGAGGGGTCATGTCTGCTAATGGGCCATACTGGACTGGCATAATAGGCAGCTGCAACGACCTAGACCATTAAAGACTCCAAAAGTATCCCAGGACTCACAGAGTTAAATCACCCATCGTGAAACTCCCTGCCCTGGGGGAGGTACCGGGCATTCCCACTTGAACCTGAGCATATATAAACATTGGGTTTTGAGACTTCTGGTACCACTCCTCGGATCCAGAGGAGGACCAGAACTTCAACACAACTGTGATCATCATCCAGATCAACAGGTTTTCCTTTCCTTTTACTTTGCACCCAGGGGGCCACATGGTGCTCAGCACAGGGGCTGTGGAACACCGTTCTGTTCTTGTCCCAGGGTGCTGGGTTATATATCTGTTTGTTGGGGGTGAAAACCAGTTTTTCTCTGTATCATTGGATTTATTGGAATCTTTTTTAGTAAATTGTAACTCTGACTTGTAATCTCTCTTGAGTTGGGTTCATTTTTCCCACCCGTTTACTTCTAAACCAGCACAGGCTATAATTCTTTGGAACACAGTATTCCTTATGGAAGGGCTTAGTTTCTGCAGCAGGTAAGAGTGCTTCTTCAGTCCATGAAATTTTACAGAGATAGAGCTTTACAGAGATAAGAAGTATTAGGAAGAAAAATCTTTTAATTCTATAATTGTAATTAGATTCAATCCCTTTTGATTGAGCTTTTAATCTTGCAGGATCTCTTACTGAGCATTTTAAAGTGCATGGAACTACTATGTGGGGGTTTTTTAAGGCAGTTTTTGAAAAGAGAAACATTCATTTCTCACAGTTACTTTGTTCAAATGCTTAGAGCATAATTACTGCAAAAATTGTTAAGCTAACCAAAAGAGATACACAAATTTTCTAAATGTTTTAAAGCTGATTTACAAATCACAGAATCAGCTAGGTTGTAAAAGACCTCTGAGATTATTGAGTCCAGCCTTTGACTCAACACTACCTTGTCTATTAGACCATTGGCACTAAGTGCCACATCCAGTCTCTTCTTAAATACCTCCAGGGACGGTGAGTGAACCACTGCCCTGGGCAGCCCATTCCAATCTCCAGTCTCTCTGTAAAGAACTTCTTCCTTATGTCTAACCTTAACCTCCCCTGGCACAGCTTAAGACTGTGCCCTCTTGTCCTACAGCTGGTTGCCTGGGGGAAGAGACCAACTCCTACCTGGCTACAGCCTCCTTTCAGGGAGTTGCAGAGAGTGATGAGGTCTGTCCTGAGCTTCCCCTTCTCCAGGCTGAACAGCCCCAGCTCCCTCAGCCTCTCCTCATAGGGCCTGTGCTCCAGTCCCTTCCTCAGCCTCACTGCTCTTTTCCGGACCTGCTCCAGCACCTCAACATCCTTCCTGAACTGAGGGGCCCAGAACTGGACACAGTACTGCAGGTGTGGCCTCACCAGCACTGAGTACAGGGGAAGAATCACTTCCCTGGTCCTGCTGGCCACACTGTTCCTGATCCAGCCCAGGATGCCATTGGCCTTCTTGGCCACCTGGGCACACTGCTGGCTCATGTTGAGCTTCCTGTCATTCAGAACCCCCAGGTCGCTCTCCGTCTTGCCGCTCTCCAGCCACTCTGTCCCCGGCCTGTAGCGCTCCATGCGCTTGTTGTGGCCAAAGCAGAGGACCTGGCACTTGGCCTTGTTGAACCCCATATTGTTGGATTTGGCCTATTTATCCAGCCTGTCCGGGTCCCTCTGCAGAACCCTCCTGCCTTCCAGCAGGTCGACACTCCTCCCCAACTTGATGTCATCTGCAAATTTGCTAGAGGTACACTCAATCCCTTCATCCAGATCATCAATAAAGAGGTTAAACAGGACTGGGCCCAACACTGATCCTTGGGGGACACCATTAGTGACCAGAATAAATAAAGATACATAACTTGGAATCACAGAATCGTTAAGGTTGGAAAAGACCTTGAAGATTGTTGAGTCCAACTGTTAACCCAGCACTGCAAGTCTACCACTAAACCATGTCCCTTAGTTCCACATCTACATGTCTTTCCTCCAGGGATGGTAACTCAACCATTTCCTTGGGCAGCCCGTTCCAATACTTGACAAATGCTTTTGGTGAAGAAATTTTAATCCCAGGTCCTTTTCTGCTGGTGAGCTTTCCAGCCACTTTTCCTCCAGCCTGTAGCACTGCAGGGGGTCGTTGGGAGCCAAGGGCAGGACCCAACACTTGGCCTTGTTGAACCTCTTACAGTTGGCCTTGGCCCATCAATCCAGCCT